GTATGTAGAGCCCGGAGAAATTGGGAACCTATAAAAGGGGACATTTTGGTACATTTTCGTTCTTTAAAAGGTACTTTTTGAAATTTCTATAATATTGAACATAGAAACATAAAATGAAGCACGTAGAGGCCGGAGTAAATGAGAACCTATAAAATGGAACTATTTGGTACTTTTTCGTTCTTCAAAAGGTACTTTTTGAATTTTCTAAAATATTAAACCTAGAAACATGAAACTAAGTATGTAGAGACCGGACTAAATGAGAACCTATAAAAGGGGACATTTTGGTACTTTTTCGTTCTTCAAAAGGAACTTTTTGAATTTTCTATAATATTGAACCTAGAAACATGAAATTAAGTATGTAGAGGCCGGAGTAAATGAGAACTTATAAAAAGGGGACTTTTTGGTACTTTTTCGTTTTACAATTGGTATTTTTAGATTTTTTTGTAATAAAATTCGTACTATGACTGCTTTTTTTTACCACATCATGGTAAAGGGTATATAAGATTCCGCGTAGCCGAATATAGATCTCTTACTTGTTTAAAATTAAAACTTTTTGAAATACTCTGTGAACCTAAAGTGCTAATGAGGTGAGTAATAAATATTTTACAATTGAATGCAAACGTTTTTCTTAAAATAATATGTACTTTTTTATGGCTTCTTATGACAATTTAATATAATTAACACAATTTTAAGAAGTTAGAATTCCAGCTTGACAATTGTGTGTAATAATAAGTGATATCATTTTAAAAGAATTTAAAAGCTACTAAATACGTAATGTTTAACAATAATTAACAGAGATTTTTAGTAGTTTTCTTATAAATTAAAAAAACATGTTATGCTTCAATTATTTTCAAACCAATACCTTTAATGTTAATTAAATTTTTTCACTTTAGCCTAAATTTCTTTGTTATTGACAACCTTTTTTTAAAAAAGATTTGTAAACAAATGTTTTGTTTTCTTTTTTCTTTATTTTAAAATTTATTCCGCACTTATAATTATTGAGTATGAATATAAGAATAAAAACATACAAATATTAAGAACAACGCAAAAAAAAACTGACTACTTAAGAAAAAGAAAACCACAAATATATCAAGACATTTTTATTTTGTTAATTTTGCATATGTACATATATTTTACACAATTTCAAATTTAATTGAAAGTGACAATTGTGTGCGAAAATTAACATATAGAAAATTAAAAAAAAAAATTAAAAACAGCGACGATAAAGAAATAATAAAATAAGAAAAACCATGGTCAATAGGGCGAATGAGAAATTGCAAGAAAAAAAGTAAAAGAAATAGGATAAGAAAATTAGAATTTACACAATTTGGTTAAAATATTAGCAATATATAAATCAAGAGTCCTAAGAAACTTTCCTGTTTCTTAGCATTTATCCAGGTCCTGATCTTGGACATGACGATATCAGTGAATGGTTGTATTGAATACTTAGGCGCAATCCTTGATATGAAACTAAAATGGATTTTTTGCTTCAAGTAACCCTTAAGGAATTTATATAATCTCAAGAACCTCCATATATACATATATATCAATTTCTATCGGTTCATGTTACAAAAACAAATTTCCTATTAAATGTTTTCATACATTTGTAAGACACTCGAAACATTTTTTCGGAAACACTTTAAAAACTTTCAGTTCCAACTCTTAGCGGACCTCTGATCGAATAGGGATTTTAAGACTTCGATCATAATTAAGCGGACCATTAGAGCAAACATCTGCAAGAATCTATTGTTACACGAATGTCTTTAAACTGGAAAACAAAACGGGTCTGGGGATCTATATTGAAACCCCGAAAACCGTCTTTCTAATCACAATACAATCTTTCAGGCTGAAGGCCGCACTATCACGGAATGTGAAAAAATGGATTGAATTGAATATGGGGCCAACATAGATTAACATATTTTTCAACAGCCAGAATAGGACGATAAGGTTGCATCAAAGACTGTATTACTGAAAGAAGTATAATAGTCCAGTGGTAAGTTCTTAAGGGCCTCAAGCAACTCGAGTATTATCAGCAATTAAAGAACGTGTGTACCTGCTATAAAGAAAAGGGGTCTTGAGAAAGTTGACCTGACGAAAGACAACCCATTCGGTGTAAAGAGAGCTGAATTAAGAACATGGGCGAAATAATCCTGTACGGCCACTTGGAATAATGAAGTGGTGGGTACTGGAATTGTTTCTGCGAAATTTTATCCAAATATCTTTGGACCGATGGCATTTTCCTCAGTAATTTTGATTGAAAAATACTAAGGAACTATGTCCAGGATACTGAGTTTCTATTATTGGACCATTGGACGATCCTCTAATAAATCGGTTATTCTGCCCAAATTTTCTGTTTAATGCAGAGTCCAAAAGACATCATTACGTCCTGGCTATACATATTTCTCCGATTCTTAACCTAAATTCTTCTATTGAAAAATCTATCTCAATTTGTTCCGAAAAAAAATTCTATCAAATTGTTCTAAAAAATTCTCTGAAAAGAAAAATCTGTAACAATTTCTTTCTAAAGAAAAATCTTTTAAAATTTTTTTGAAGAAACAACTGTCACAAATATTTTCTAAAAATAAAACTGTCACAAGTTTTTTATATAGAAAAATCTTAATATTGTTTAATAAATTGTTCTAAATTGTAAGAAAATTTGTCATAAATCTTTTGAAACAAAACTTAAAAAAAAAACTGTTAAAAAAATTTAAATCTGTCACAAATTCAATTTTTGTAAAGAAAATTCTGTCAACATTTCTATTTTTCGAAAGAAAAATTTGTCTCAAATTGTTTTAAAAAAAATACCATCACAAATTTTTTCTAATGAAAAATATGTCACGTTTTTTAAAAGAAAATTTTCTGGTAACTTTTTTTGTTTTAAATAGTCACAAATTAAATTTTTATAAAGAATTATCTGTCACTCATTTTTTTAAAAGAAAAATCTGTTAAAAAATGTTTTTAAACGAAAATCTGACACAAATTTGTTCTAATGACAAATCTGTCATAAATTTATTCTAATGACAAATCTGTCACAAACATGATCTAAAGAATTGAAGGTTTAAAATTTTTAAAAGAAAAATCAATCACAAATTTAATTTTTCTAAAGAAAAATCTGTAATAAAATGTTTCCAAAGTTAAGTCTGTCACAAATTTGTTCCAAAGAAATTCTGTCACAAATTTGTTTTAAAGAAAAGACTGTTTTTTTAAATTTCTAAAGGAAAATTTGTCACAAATTATTTTAAAGAAAAATCTATCACAAATTTTGTTCTTAAGAAAAATCTATCACAAATTTGTTCTAATGCCAAATCAGTCACAAAATTAATCTAAAGAAAAGACGGTTTAAAAATGTTAAAATAAAAATCTGTCACAAATTTAGTTTTTATCAAACAATATCTGTCAATCATTTTATAATATAGAAATCTTTTAAACATGTTTTTATAGGAAAATCTGACACAAATTTATTCTAATGACAAATCTGTCACATATTTGTTCTAAAGAAAAGACTGTCACAAATTTGTTCTAAATAAAAGATGTTTAACATATTTTTAGAGTTTCCAAAGGAAAATTTGTCACAAATTATTTTAAAGAAAAATAAGTCACAAATTTTGTTCTTAAGAAAAATCTGTCACAAATTTGTTCTTATGACAAATCAGTCACAAATCTAATCTAAAAAAAAGACGATTTAAAATTTTTAAAAGAAAAAACTATCACAAATATGTTGCAAATAAAAATATGTCAAAATTTTTTCTTATGATAAATCTGTCACATATTTAATGTAAAAGAAAGTTTACAATATTTTAAAGAAAAATTTGTATAAATTTAATTTTTCTAAAGAAAAATCTGTCATGTTTGTAAAGGCAAATCTGTCACAAAGAAAATTCTGTCACAAATTTGTTTGAAAGAAAATTATGTCACAATTTTGTTCTAAAGAAAAGACTGTTAAAAAATTTTAAAGGAAAATGTTTCACAAATTATTTTAAAGAAAAATAAGATACAAATTTGTTCTTAAGAAAAATCTGTCAGAAATTTGTTCTAAAGACAAATTGTCACAAATTTATTCTAAAGAAAAGACGGTTTAAATTTTTTGATATAAAAATCTGTCACAAATTTGTTCCAAAGAAAATTCTGTCACAAATTTGTTCTAAAGAAAATTCTGTCACAAATTTTTCCTAAAGAAAAAATTGTTTAAATTTGTTTTAAAGAAAAATGTGTCACAATTTAAATCTTTCTAAAAAAAATATCTGTTATATGCTTCTCCAAAGTAAATAAGTTATATAAAGCTTCAAATGACAAATCTGTCCGAAATTGTTCTAAAACAATCTGTCACATATTTGTTCTTAAGAAGAATCTGTCACAAATTTGTTCTAATGACAAATCTGTCACATATTTATATTATATATAAAAAATGGTTTAGAATTTGTAAAAGAAAAATCTGACACAAATTTTATTTTTCTAGAGTGAAATCTCTCACAAAATGTTTCTAAAGGTAAATCTGTCACAAATTGTTCTTAAGAAAAATCGGTCACAAATATTTTAAAAGGTTAAAACTGTTACAAAATGTTTCTAAAGGAAAAACTCTGTTACAAATCCAATTTTTCTAAAGAAATATCTGTCACACACTTTTCCAAAGAAAAATCAGTTACAAAATGTTCCTGAATGGAAATCTGTCACAAATTCTTCTAAAGAAAAATCTGTCACAAATTTGTTTTAAAGAAAAATCTGTCACATATTTTCCCAAAGAAAAATCTTTTAAATTTTTCTATAGAAAAATTTGTCACAAATGTTTCTAAAGGAAAATTAGACCCAAAGTTTGTTAAGAAAATTTTCCAAAAAATATTTTCCTAAAGAAAAATCTGTCACAAATCTCTTCGAACCAAAAAAATCTGTAACTTTTCTTAGTATTTTTCTTAAATTTAAATTCATTTAAAGAAAATTTCAATGATTCACTTAAATTTTCAAAATTCGGACCATTTGGAGGACAATTTTGAATTACGATTTACCTCTGATTTATTAGATGGCGAAGCAATGGCCAATACCTCATCATTAAGACCAGCTTGTTGAAGATTATCATTGATATGCGATAATAGTTCATCAATCGTTTGTGAGGCTTTCATAGAAGATGTTAGCATTTCTTCCGGTTCTAATTGTGAGGGATGTGGTGGTGGTGGTGGTGTTATGGATAGGGGCCGTGTATTATCCAAATCCAAAAGTGATTGTGTTAAACAATCGGTATGTTGTAGATTTAAAGGTGGTGGTGGTAAAATATCTTTAAATTCATCAAGATATTCATCGGGTACACCAATAAAATCAGTCATATGATCACTACCATTTAGAGAGGAGGACATGTTGGGAGAATATTTATTGTTGTTTTCAAGATTTGATTGTTGTTCACCATTAGCTGAAGTTGTTGTTGTTGTGTTAGAATCCTTTTGATTGTTTAGCTCACTGGCGTTTGCATTAGGCAAGGAGTCGGAGTTTGAATATTTATCCATTGTGTTTGACGTTTCGTTTATAACTAAACTAATGGGTCTTTTTATTAAATTCGATATGAAATCCATTTTGCAAAATTATTATTTTTTGTTTTTTTTGGGGGGTTTTATTTAAAAAAAAATGAGGAAACTTGTTGAAGATTTTAAAAGGTGTTACTGCTGTTAATTAATTCTTCTTTTTTTACGGTTTATTGATTTCGATTTGTTTAAAATCAAATTTCAAATTTCGTTTTTTTAAATATTTTATTTGTTTTATTTTTTTTTCGTTTAGTTTAATCACTGAGACAGAAAAATCACGTAATTATTTTACGGTTCACACGTTTTATTTCTTCTGCCTTTATTTTATTTTCTTTCTTTTCTTTTTTGATTAATTTTAAATTAATGCCACTGATCGCCAATGATCTTTATAAGAAAAAAAAAAAAACTAAACGCCTTAAAATGACAACTTTTGTTTTAATTTTCTAATTGATTTTTGAAATTTATTTTTATTTTGATTTCTTAATTTTTAAATTCTTTCTTTTTTTTTTTGTCAAAATTTCTATTTTGTTTGTGTGTTGTTTTTCTTTTAATTTTTAAAATTTTCTAATAATTTTAATTTAATTTATTTTGTTTAAAAACAATCCGCGCACCGCTTGTATGATTTCACGCCATTTGTGTTAAACTAAATTGTACTACAGGGGAAGCTGGCAGCAGCATTTAATTTTTCAAATTTTTTTTATTTTCTGTTTTTTGAAAAATTTGTTTAAATTTTGTTTTTTCTTTTTTTTACTTTCAAGTGTTTTTGAAAATTTTCTCACACGAGATGTGTTTTTTGTTAAATTTTTTTTCTATTTGAAAAATACAAAATTTCTAATAGTTTTTGTTGTTTTTTATTTATGTGCCCCATTCGTGGGGAATTAATAGTCAGTCTACTTTCGTTTAGTTTGCTCTTGATCTCGTTGTGTCTAGTTGTATGTCGGCTGCTGTAGTCTTCTATGAATGATGTTGCCTGTTTCTGTACTTATGCAATTTGTCTTTGTTTTTTTCCGATTTTCTTTTGTTTTTGATTTTGGTTTTTTTTGGGTAGAATAAAATAAAACAAAATGTTTTGTTGGGTGTCAGAAAATAAAATTGTGTTCTGGTTTTATTTATGATCACTTTTTTTTAAAATCTAGTGTTGAAAGGTTAACTGATTATTCGAATACACATGCGAGTGTTTAGGGATTGTTTAAATCAATTAGGGAAATAAAGAGAATAATACAAAATATAATCGAATCACATAAGAAGAATCATCACATAATTCCTCAAATTTGCCAGAATTTGAAATCTGTTGTCTATTTGTCTGAATTTGAAATCTATCGAGATCTTCGCTAAGTATATATACTACACACCCAAACCACATCTTTCAGAGAAACTTCGATTTCATTATATCAGAAAACTGAAGAAGAAGTGTATACGGAGGACCGTACTAAATGCATAGAGCGAGTTATTTTTTATCCCGAAATTTGGGATAAAAATAACTTTTAGGTTTCAGAATAGCTGAAAGATATTTCAGGTTGCAACATCGGTGATAAATGGTGCAGCAAATCGGCTTTGGTATTACACTATACCGTAAAAGATATTCAAAACCTTAACCATAACAAAATCCTAACAAGTGTAGCACTACATCAAGATTAATCCTTAAATAATCTGGCGCAACATTCAACAAACGTACTCTTGAGGGTACGTAGACAGGGGGACTCAATAGGTAATTGTATAACTAATGAATTAGCAAAAACAGGAAGTTCAAAGTCCAATGTGGAAAAATACTTTTTTTTTGGGGAATATACCTAAACAGAAGTTCTATAAACTTTTTACGCAAGATGGAGAAACGTACCAACCTGCCTCATAACTACGAAGATATGGCAAATACTTGAATACTGAAGTTAATACGAACCACCTCAGCCGGACCCAAACCCGCAATGGTTTAACTTATAATAAGTTCACAAATTGTCAAAACAAAGAGGAATCAATTGATCTTCTTTACTGCTGTCCTTCTCTAGGGTACATCCATTTCAAATTTCTAGGTAAGTGTCAGGCCTATCTAACCAGGAAGAACAGGATCCACTTTTGCTTTTCTATCATCCACTGGGTAGACTTAAGACGGTCTACCACGCGCCCTGTGCAGGTCCATGTACAAGCACTTTGCTGAAGATAACTCGAGTATCTAATCTCTTGCCATAGTAGCTCCGTTGCGGAATGACAGGTAGTATGGGATCAATCCTAATGCAAACCCCGATAAGGAAAAAGCAATCACTGGTCTTAAGCCAATAGATGGTGAGACTACCACAACATCAGGTGAAATCAATCTTCCGGTATACCGGATGTCATGAAATATTGTATTATTTAAAATACAATCCCTATCAACTAATGATCCATTCCAGTGCATTCCTTAACCTACTACACTACTGATATGGCTCAGTTGTTTCGGCAACAGCACCTAGAGATGTAGGAATTTCCAAAGTCAATTCGAACGCAATAATTGCCCCGACAAGTTGAGTAGAAGGCCTCAACCATAAGTTGCGTAGCATGAAACAATATGCATCCTGTTGAGATGGCAACAGTACCTAGAATTTCCCTGAAGTAAAAGGTCTACTAAATCAGTACTAGTCTCCTGTCGGGCAGAGGATTCTTTCCCGATCGTTCACCAATTACATCAGTTCCATTCTCAGATCATAAAGAACGATCTACCAAGTGTCAACCTGAGAATTCCCCAACCTATACTGGCGTCCTACTACTCGAAAAGTAAGAGATTCTCAACGGTTTCAGGAATACAGCATAAGTTGCTCTGTCACATCAGCCAGTGACATTTGGATATATCAGTCCTTAAACCAACATTCTCTCTCCGCGAATTTGGGTTTAAACCACAGCCACTACGTGGATCCCGAAGGAACCTCAAGCAATTGCCTAGCCAGGACAAATACTGCGGTGCTCTGGTTAGACCCCATGTCAAATCATTCCAAGGAAAGGCCGATAGACTAGAGGTATTGGTTACACCTCTTTTCCCCGGGATATTGCATTTCACCAAGGTAACTTGCCCCCGGGGGATCGAATTAAGTCAATATGTATATGTGATAATATAACAACGATTGCCAAAAGATTTAATACAATCCTGATCATAGATATTCCGGATCACATGATTGCTACTGAACTCTAATAAAAGTTTCGCTTAATTACCAGTTTACAGCGATCGGTCGAGAACTCTTCCATTAATAAACTTATTCGCTAAAAGATTGTGATTGTGATTATTGTGAAATATAACAAAGATTGCCTAATGATTTAATACGATCCAGATCATAGATATTCGCGATCACTTGATTCTTGCTGACATATAATAAAAGTTTCGCTTAATCAGCGGTTTGGAGCTCTTCCATTAACTAAATAGATTCTGTTATTATGGAATCTCATCCAGAGACATTAAACAAACCATTGATCATAGGTTTTCGGGATCACTTGATTCTTGGTGAATTATAATAAAAGTTGAAGTGATCGGTTGGGAACACTTCCACTAATAAACTTATTCTCAAGAAGATTCTAATGTTTTGGAATCTTATTCAGAGAATTTTAACAAACCAAAACATATCAGCGATTGCCTAAAGATGTAGTATGATCATGATCGTAGATATTCGGGACAAATTGATCAGCTGTTTGTTACATTTGTCGGGAAGTCTTCCATTAATAATCTTATTCGCAAGAAGATTTTGATGTTTTGGAATCTCATTCAGACAAGATATATTTAATACACGTCAATGATTTGCTAGTAATCTAATCATAGAGATCATCTTTAAGGACAGAGATGTATAAACAGATTTCATTGATAATTACTCCAAATGACAATTACTTAACAGCTTGTTCGTAAAAAACCCAATAAAAAACCTTTAAAAATGGTCAGCATCTTTAATCAACAGGAACCGAGAAGAATCTATTAACATACAGGAATCTTAAGGAAATTATAACCACCAGAACCATGATCAAACTAAAACAATCATTTTGGACCAGAGAACACAAAAAAAAAACTCTGGTACCAGAATACATTTAACCTTCTTTCCACATTGTATTTCAAACAATCTTTAATACAACTATTTACGAAAGTCAACCATCATGTCTCTGAATATTCAAGTAATTCGTGTTTTTAAAAACTATCACATTTTTAGCAATTTCTCTCATTTTTGTGGAGATTTTATTTTGATAATTTTAATAAAAAAAACACATTACCGGTTAAAGGCCAATTAAGATTTATTTAAGTTTAATAACAGTTCACAAAGTTTAAGAAACATTAAAAAATTAAACAAACATGATGTCAGTATTTAGTCGATCACTTAGTAAATTTTCCTAGGGTATTCTTCTTATGATATACAAATATAACAATGTTTTATATTCTTTTTATAATTTGTTTATTTTAAAATATAATTTTTATTTATTTTTAATTAAATTCACATTATGAGCATAATCATTAAACAGCAGATAAAGCGGCAATAAAAATAATTTCTTTACTTCAAATCAATAAAATAAACATAAAACTTAATTGATGATATATTAATTAAAACCATAGGATAAAAATTCTATAAAATAAATTAATTACAAAACTAAACAAACAAGAAACACGACCGGTAAATTTAACCGGCGAAATAAAACTGAATTAAATAAACTAAAGGCAAAATATCAGCAGCAAAGCACAGCACTTCTCATTCTGTCTATGGTTAGACAATAGATAGCAACAGTTGCTGCTGCTGCAATAGCAGCAGCTGCAGCCACACAAGAAACAAAATCAAAACATTACAAGACCTAGTTAGATGTCTTACAAGGCAACAACAAAAGCACCCAATAGACAGACAGACAGTCAGATATTACTGAGAAAGAAATACTAACAATGGCTAACCAAAACACCATTCATTCAAACTTCTATCCATTCATCTATTTAGCTAGCTAGTTGCATAAACTTACATACAAACAATAAGCGATAGAAGTAATTAGAATTTTAAACTAGAACATAACACATTTATTTTGAAATTTTATTTCTTTCTAGCTTAAAGGGGAGACTGTCTTTGCTGCATACTCTACTCAAATTATAACTAATTGTTAGACTCAGGCCACAGAGTAATGAAGACTAACTCGTAAGAATGAAATGAATGAAGGTGGCGATGCAAGAAAACAATTTTAACACAATACAAGAGGAAATACTGAATTTACAAGTACAAGACGGGGCGGGAATAATAGAAAAAAATTACATTTAGAATTTAGAATGTAATAAAGAGTAATACAAAAAAGAAGAAAATAGTGGTATTAAAGAAAAATATGGAAATTACTTATATTTACTTTTAAAATGATCTTTAGCAAATATTTCACAGGGTGACAAAGTTGTGATCTTACAAAAGAAGTTCTATCTATCTATCTATCTATCTATCTATCTA